TGCAGAGTGTCAAAAATGTCATGTTTTTAATGTATTATTATCATGTACATGCCTGGATATGAGCAGGGGCGTATCTGCCGCGAGGCAAACAAGGCGTTTGCCTGGAGCGGCAGATTCCCTGAGAGCGGCACTTGCTGTGCTTCTCTTCCCTTGATAAATGTTATTTATCAAGTGAAGAGAACCAGAGGCTAACGTAGCGGCGGGGACGAGGCCGGCGGGTTGCGGCGGTGTCCAGCAGGCAGCGGCACTTTTTAATGCCGGGTGAGTGACCGTCGGAGGTGGTTGTCTATCAGCTATACGGGCGGGGCGGCGTTGCTGTTTTGCCTAGGGCAGCAGCAATTGTAAATACACCGCTGGATATGAGCGCAATAGATGCGCAAGATGAGAATATATGCACGCATATATACGACTACTTGTGCGCAGGATTTTCACAGGTGAATATGTACCATTTGGAACCCATTCACAACAGCATATAAATGATGTACACATTTCGATTTGTGTGATTGGCATATATGTACTGTTATATTTTTGTGTGTGTAGATTTATCACTTTTATGATTTTGGCCAGGATGTTTGCATTGCTGTATGTGGATTAATTCTACTCACTTGATGCAGGATTTGAACCGGGGACATAGGTGTTGTGTGGCAGGTCCCCTAACCGCTCAGCCACTGGGCTTCCCTTTGCTGAAGGTTGTTGCACATCCCTATTGAATCCTCGGCATTTTAACACGCCATGCGCACGCGTTGGTAGTATTTATCAAGCATCTGTATAACCTGCATACGCTTCCGCGCCAAGCGTATACGCGCACGCGCGTGCGCAGTCGGCGTGTTTTTGCATGGCGTGTTTGTGAGGTTAGTAAATCAACCCCATACTCTGCTTCATCGGTATATGGAGAAAGGAGCATGATCCTAAAAAGATACTGCATAACATTTGTCTAACAGGTATTATATCCAATCTGTCCATACCCAAGCAAATGACAACCTACCTACAGTGTACTTTAAGATGCCCATGCACACGGTACCCACACATGACCCCAAGCACCTCTGAGGGGCCACAGGGAGATACAACCCACACAACACCCCCAAACAGTAAAGTTTAGCGGTAAAATAGAGAAATCAACCTGTAAACATTCATAAAAGGAATTTTCCTTTTTTTAAACTTTTTACAGGCTCATGGCTCTACTTGGCTTTGGACCTGTGAGTCACTCAGTTGGAAAGAGTAAGCAGATTAGGAGCTTCTACTTTACGCTAACTTTTCTGATCTTCAAGCTTGTTTTGGGCCCTTAGACAGATAGCTAGTATTTTCAGAAGAAGGTCGGCAGTGGGAGTCTCTATATTTTCTCTCAGTAAAAGTTTCTCTTAATCAGTGTTGTGCCAGTGTTATTATTAATGTGTATTATGTTTTTATAAATCCTGGTGTCTGGAATTGCTGCATGCCATAAAACTCCCAATTACATATATAGTATGCTATTTTCATTAAAAGATTACCCAGGGGTGTGACATGTGGCAGCACTGGCTTGTTTCCCTTAGCCCCCCCACCACCACCATCCTACATGTATGGTAATCGGTACACTCAGCTTGAGAAATAAGACTACTGGAAAAATTTGCTTTTTCAACAATTTAATTAGCTCAGAAAGACCAATACAAAACATGTTCCACTTTTCCTAAGTGACATTACAGCAAATATTCAGAATACACAGAATATTCAATTGTTACTTGATCAAATAGCATTTCTCTTACGCCCAGCTAACTGACTGTATTCCTCATTCCGACGCAGCCCTAGCTCCTGAGAAGAGAAATAAAATATCTCAAATAAGGCTGTAAACAGTTATCATGAAGTCTGTTTTAAAAATTATAATTCATTTCACTATAAACATTGTTTTAAATCACATCTAAAACCAACACTTTGTTTTATCCTGAATAGAGTTGGGATGGATTAAAAGCCTTTTTTTTTTTTTTTTTGCTGTCTTTGTCCCTAGGGGAGACTTTCCCCCCGTTTCCTATCCCAGAGACCCAACAGGAAGGGAAGGGAAAACTCACCAAAGTGAAGTAGAATTAACAATAGTTTTCTCCTCTATTGCTAATCTGATGACAATTGTAAAACTTTAGTTACATGCCTTCTGCCCTGGTGACGATGGCCACAGGACAAATAAGGACCTGCATCTGTTTACATCTGATTACACCAGACTAAAGGTGCCCATACACTGCTCAATTCTCGTACGAGAATCGCGGGAAATCCCGCGATCGTTCGAGAATCGAGCCGTGTGAACGAAGACATGCAACCGTTTCTACTGTACGGTCGCACGTCTTTTGTCTAAGGAGCACGCTAGAAAACCAGCCGAAAATCGTACAATTTTCGGCTGGTTTGAACGGTGCTCGGGAGACAAATGCCGAACGGGCAGGTGTGCGCACGCGCACACTGCCCGTTCAGCATTGCGGTCATCGGAAGCCCGCCCCTCAGGGGGGCGGGCTTGCGATGATCGAGAGTACGATCTGCCTGTCCAAGATGGGCAGATCGTACGTTTTTTTAATTACTTTACAACCATCGCAAGACTAAGGTCTTGCGATGGTTGTAAAGTGTATGGCCACCTTTACTCTAAGTCTGAAAAAAAACAGAACAGAGTTCTGTTTTGGTGGACCTGATAGATACGTTTTAAAAATGATGCCACTCACTGTAAATTCATTGTCAGCACCACATCAAAAATAATTCTACCCCATAAAAGGAAGAAAGATGTAACGGAGTAATGGACTGTAACTGCATGACCTATTCATAAAGTGTAGGAAAGTGAATACTAACATCCTCTGATAACACTTAAAAACCTTTGTGTGTTAGTTCTAAAGATTCAGACTAGAGGAGACACCTGGTGACTACAAAGACGATTTCACTGCAATGCAAGAAACTAAGACAACATTTCAAGAAGAAACAAGCATTTCCGTAGCGTGACTTGTTTGGTGAAATGTGCAGGAAGTGGCCAAACAGTAGAACAGGCAGCTGTTATCAAAGCAAGTTATAAGAAGGGAATATGTCATGAAATGCTTTGATAATGTATTGTCAACTAATCACACTTACTTGATATTCCTGGTCTCTGTCAATCAAATTCTGTTTGTCAGAAGCTGCAGAAAAACACATATGAAAGGAATAAATGACAAAAAGAGATATAGAGAAGAATCCTGCAGAGATGTTACTATGTATATTCCACAAATGTCAGTAATTATTGCTGGAAGTGTAGGATTTTATAGGGCATGTTTACACCCAATGCCTTTGGGTTGCGCTTGACGTTTTTTCCCAGTGAAGCCCAAACGCAAGACAAGGCAATTTGCCTTGTAAATGGAGGACACGGTTCACACCTGCGTTGTGGTGGTGTGTGCTTAAAAATAAGTACAGCATGCAAGCGCAACACAAGGAGACACAGTACAACCGCATCGCACTGTAATGAGCCCATGGAACTCCATAATGAAATGTCACTTGTGACATTTCAATAAATTTCTAACAAAAAAGTAAACAGTGCGATGCGATCAAATGCTGGTTACGTCAGCAGCTGTGTGGTGTAGCACGGCTGCTCGTATTAACGTGCCCTCAAGCAAGGAATAGAAGGACACTTTTCTCAATTTGTTAACAGATGGTTAGAGCCTGTGCCAGGTTTTTATTGCTGAGATAAAGAAAGTAATGATAGTGTAACACCACTGGGTTTAGAGTCCAAAAAGAGAATAATCCATAATCATGGTGCCATGGTGACTTTGCTTTCCCTTTCTGCTGCAGCGATCTAAAGATCCTCAGGTCATCATGTCCAATACGCAATGGACAAGGACAAGAGGACGCAGAGGGACACACCATTGCTGCAGTAAAAGAGGAGACAGGCTGGAAAGAGTGCTGTGACAGCCGGCCAGCTCTGAGGATCGGGCAAGCCTAACATTGTTTTCCCCCTCTAGCACCCATATGAAAATGAGCAGTTAACCGTTGCCGTGCGGGGGGTAGCTCCACTGCAAGGGTTAACAAAAGTTTTGCATGGAGTTCTTCTTTAAAGAATATTGAAGTTGACTTAGTTGACCTCTTCTTCTAAGAGTGCTAGTTCCCTGGCTCCTCCAATGATCCTAGACTTTCTGAGACACAGCTGGAACTAGTATGCAGACCAGGAATTGGTAGTGGCTAGTCACATTCAACTGGACTTGTTCCGTGACCACTGTCAGAATATCCAAACTGATTTTGGGTATTGACTGGCTGCAAGCTGTTTGCCCAAAGCTTTTCCAACCTGCTCCTTCGATCATCTGATTGAGGAATGCTGGGCAGAAGGGTGCTTATACAACTATCTCCTCCCGGCTCAGATCTGCAATCACAGCACCTGGGGTGGGGTGCTGCTGGGATTAAAATGCTGCAGGTATGTTAAGGTCCCCACACACCTTACGATAATCGTACGATAATCTCGGGAAATCCCGCGATTGTACGATTATCGTAAGGTGTGTGGAAGCCGTGCGACCTCTACTACTGTAAGGTCGCACGACTTTGAAATTACGGACATGTTCGAAAACCCGCCAAGCATCGTACGACGTTCGGCGGGTTTATGGCATGTCCGTACGATAACAGCGCACACTGCCCGTTCGGCATTGCGGTCATCGGAAGCCCGCCCCTAAGGGGGCGTGGCTTGTGATCATCGCAAGTACGATCTGCCTATGCAAGATAGGCAGATCGTACGTTTTTTTAAGTACCTTACAACCATCGCAAGACAAAAGTCCTGCGATGGTTGTAAGGTGTGTGCCCAGCCTTAGGGAGTGTGAGAGGCCAATTCAACATGAATGGGCTGCTTTAAAGTAAGACACCTTGAGACCCGATTCCCGCTGAGGGACATGAACAATTGTGCATTTTTCCGCGCAATTTCAAGCTGAGCGACATGAGCTACATTGAACTACATCGAGCTACATTGGACATTGTTTTGCGCTACGTAGTGCGACTTTTGGGAGGGACTTCGTCGCTGCTACATTGGGCTGTAACCAATCAAAATTGTCTTGATGTTACAACATTCCTTCCTTCCATATTGATGTGCAAAAGTAACACCTTTGTAGCATGATATCGCGCGACAAGGTCGTGCAATATCGCCGGTAATGCGCAACATTGAGCGACACCATTGATTCTATTGGGGCCCAATCTCGCAACATCCACGAAAAAATAGGTCAAGCTTGAGCGACGAGCTACAGGCAACATTGAGCTGTGAGATGTGAACAGCCCCATTGAAATGTATTGGACAAGCTACATTGAGCAACATTGCACGGAAATATGCGCGATTGTGGAGCGGAAATCGCACGACAAACCGCTCATTGTGAGCAGGGTCTGACACAGTGAAGTGGACAGGTCTTAATCCAGCCTAATCTATAGATTTGGGATGGGATGTGGTTGATGCAGGTTAACTGGGTTCTCATGTAGCAAATAACTCTTGTAACATACACCAAGTCTCTTACAACACACACTTAAAGTGGAACTGAATTGAAAAAGTGAAGATTTGCTATGTTATAGGGGGGCATCTAGAAATGTTATTTGTGGCTAAGCAGTCCCCAGAAAAATTTACCTTTGGTCGTCCAGAAAAGTAGCAGTTCTTTTCCTGGTATGTGAGGATGCCTCGTCCAGGGATCCCAAACTGAAACAAGTCATTTCAGGGAGGAGCCCTTCTCATTTCAGGGAGGTGCCACCTGTCAACCCGCCCTCCTCACCGCGGGGGGGTGCAACAACAAGGAAGAGAGCACCACCCTGAAATGATGGCAGATAGCAAAGAAGCTAATGCTTCCTTTGCTATCTGCTGTTTTTTTTTAGTGTTCTGACAGCTGCTGCCGTCAGGAAAAAAGCAAAACAAAAACAGCATAGGAACTAATAGCTAGATTGCTATTGGCTATTTCAATTTGCAATAGCCAATAGCAGACTAGCTATTGCACCCGCCCACTTCTGCTGCCAATCAGCAGAGGTGGACCTGAAGTTCTCCATCAGGTCCACCTCTGCTGACTGAGAGCAACAGAGGGTGGGTGCAATAGCCAGCTTGATATTGGCTTTTGCACATTGAAATAGCCGATAGCAATCTAGCTATTAGTTCCTATGCCTTTTTTTAAAAAAATTCTGACTGACGGCGGTTTCGATGTCAGAAAAAAAAAGTCAGCACGGAAAGGTTTACTCTGCTAATGTTTCTCTGCCGGGTGTCCAGGAGCCACTATCTAACAGCGGGAAACTCCCGGAACATCTGGGAGAGTTGAGATGTCTGCTAGTCTCTGTAATGCCGCCGGACCGCGTTCCCCTGTGACAGCGCCGGCTTCCTTGCGTTCCACTGTGGAACGCGGAAGCCGCTCGAGGTACTCGTGGCGCGGCGGCTGCGTTCCACGCTGGAGCGCGGAAGTCGTGCATTACGTGCAGACACTATTTAAGAGCATCAGAGAGGCAACATGGCGTTCCGAAATTGAGGTCAGAACGCCTGTTGCCTCCTGAACCTGCTACCTGTGCCAAACAAAGCCTTGGACCTGCTGCCACCCCGCTGTGCATTGGATGCCCACTGCTCTGCAACTCATTGCTGCAACACCCTGGACACTAACCGCAAGTACTGCTCCGATTGGAGCTTAGCTCACTGCAATACAAATCCTCATTGTTGTATGGACTGTCAGTGTTAGGTGGTAACCACGTCCTGGGATTCCTTTAGCAACCATCAGATACTATATAGTTTGTGCCTTTTTGTCAGTATTCAGGTTATGAAGTGGATAACCATTGTCTGATACTGTTCCTTTTTGCTTTGGCTGTGATGACCGAGTCTCAAATTCGCCGTTCAGATTGCGAGTGACGCCTGAGACTCAACCCTGAGTAGCCTTTTTGCAAAATACCCCTCCGCAGTTGTGATCCCCAACAAGTGTAATTTACGTGAGCCTGACAGTCTCATAGCTGTACATGTGCGATGTAAGATCTCAGGCACTGCTGCCTCTGACTGCTAGTCTCAGGAGATTTAATGATGTCTTCACTGTGCTGCTCACTGTTCAAATGCTGGAGGCTCTGACATAAGCAAGCAAAGCTCTGCCTCTAACAAGATGGCTACCTAACAGAAAACAAAAACAAGGCATGGTATTCCAGTACTGGGGCAAGATCACCTGCAGGGAGACCATAGGCAATACTGGTGACTAATCCTATGTCCTCTGTTTGCTTTTTTTAGGCTAAACTTTCAGTGTTCAGTTCCTCTTTATTGAAAGAAAGATCAATTGTCAATCATACACAGTGCATAGTTGTATAATGTGTATCTTGCATTACTTACATTACATTACAATACTTTATGCAAATTAAAATCGACAAACCTCTTCCAGGTCTTCGGGTCTCCGAGCCAGAAACAAAATATACAGCCATGGCAATAAGGCCAATCATGATGAAATCGGCAATTAAAAATCCACAGATTGTTCCAGCATCCAGTTCTATGCAGTTCTGACATTCTAACAAAAATAAGAACAAAGTCTGTATACAGTTTATGTATTTGTTTATTTCTTCATTTATTTTGTTAGGACGCAATGTGTATAGGAAAGAAGGGAAAAAGTGACTTTATTTGACTACAGTAGGACTACTGTATGGTCAGCATGTTTTGTTATTATTATTTCTGTGGGTTTGGATACACTTTGAAATGCTTTTGTAGAAGAGCTAGGATGCCAATCAGCATTTTAATGCTGTCTGTATTCCTGTATCAGAACTTCACTCACTTCCTGTCTGGTGAAAAAGTTGTCAGCAGTAAAAATCAGACAGGAGTTCTAATCCATTCACAATCTATCCAAGGCTAAAAGAAAGGCTGGGCACGTTAAGATATAAATATCTATAGTTTGTAATTCACAAGTTGCAAAAAATAAATGTAAAATGAGTTCAATTCTTTTTAGCTGAAAGAAAGAGCTTCAAGATGCTTATGTGGCAATGATTTTAGTCAACTGGGATAGTTTGTGTTAAAGGGGATGGTTAAGAAGGCAAAAACTATTTTCATCTGTTCCAATATGTAACAATAAGGCCTTTAAAAACATGGACTTCATCTTGTATAAGGGAAAAAATGTGGACTTCATTTTGTATAAGGAAAAAATGTGGGCTACATTTTGTATAAGGGAAAAAACATAGACTTGATCTTGTATAAGGGGAAAAAACGTGGACTTCGTCTTACATAAGGGAAAAAAGTGGACTTAATCTTATATAAGGGAAAAATGTGGACTTCATTTTATATAATCCCTAATTGGAACCTTGGATGAAGCCAGCCAATAAGGGGCTAATCTTTCCCCTGCCTTTTTTAACAACAAAGAAAACAAAGGTTAAAAAAAAGGAAAAGGAGCCAAGAGCTTTCTATTATTCATATGCAATATTTGAGATTTACCTGAAAACATTTTTTTTTATCCTGAGCATAATAAACAAAGAGAGAAATGTATAAAACCACTATATAATTCCCCTTTTACTTATAGATGATACAATTTCACATATTAAATTATAATCTTCTTACCGCATAGACGCTGTATTAAGCCCATTGGTGTAAATGAACCATTAAATGTTCAACATCACAAAAAAGACCAGGAAATGTGCGGACTCTATTTGGGGCTGGTAAGGCTGACATTTCCTGGTCTTTTTTGTGATGCTGAACATTTAATGTCGATATATTTGCTATAGAATTGTGGTTACTATCAATATTGGACAATTTATGGTGTTTTCTTTATAATCTCATTAGATTGCCTCCCCTACTGAGGAAGCGCAATATCTGTGCGAAAAGCTTTGAGAAACAATTCACACAATCCACTCCTTGGGTTTCAGTTAAGAAATTGTATTGTTGATACTCTTATCATGTTTTCCTAATTGATGCAATCAATATCTGATTTCCAATTATCAATAATTTGTTATTCTGATTCTTTAATCATGCTCTCCAATTGATGTAATCATTATTGTGTTTTTTGAATCATGTAATCAAGTACTTGTAGTACGTCTCAAATTATGTTAACCAGTTGACATCCGCGGTGTTAAACCCCCTTCCCATCCAGGCCATTTTTCAGTATTCAGCGCTGCGGTACTTTGACTGACATTTATTCCGTCCTGCAACGCTGTACTGAAATTAATTTTATACAATTTTTTAGGGACAGATAGAGCTTTCTTTTGGTGGTATTTAATCACCACTGGGGTTTTTATTTTTTACTATATTAAGGAAAAATTACCGAAATTAAAAAAAAAACAGTTTCCCCTATATTAAATGATAAAACATTTATTATTACCCAATTTTTTGGTAAAATATAAAAGACGGGGTCATGTTGGGTAAAAAGACACCAAACATGTCAAGCCTTAAAATTGCGTGCGCGCGCGAAACCTAAAAAATGGAGGGAGATCAGCAAGGAGCGGTCTCCCTTCCTCTTTCTCCTGACGCCCTCCCGAGCCGGTCCCAGGGGATCCCAGGATTGAAGTTGAGGGGTCGGGGCGTCTATATGTGAAACACCCAGTAACGGGTGTTTGCATTGGTCGGGTCTTTTCTGCCCGTGCGCGCCCGCTAGGGGGCGCGCGAGCAGAAAAAAAATGCCGTCTGGGGACGGCAACCCACCAATGCTGCAGTGCCGTCCGTCCGTTTTTTTACAACGGGCGGACGGCAAGTGGTTAAATATACCTTAAAACCAGGTATTGAGTGGATAATAGAGGCAATCAGCTCAATTTTATTATGGCTCTTTTCTACTATTAACTTTTTTTAAACAAAATCATGTATGTAACCAAATAAAATATATCTTGTTAGAAAAATTTGGAGTGTTTCCTAACTTGTCATTTTTTGGTGCATAAAAAGCCCCACTTTTTCTCTCAAAAATCTTTTTTTCTATCAGTAAATGGAGGTGCGGCACCTAATACCCTGGATCTGACCACCACTCTTCGTGTTTTATTTACTATCGTGTCAATATGGACTAAAATCTCTGAGGAATGTTTCCAACACCTTGTTGAATCTATGCCAAGAAGAATTAAGGCAGTTCTCAAGGCAAAAGGGGGTCCAACTCAAGTACTTGCAAGGTGTACCTAATAAAGCGGCCGGTGAGTGTATATATATAGATATATATAATATAATAAAAAAAAATAAAAGTAGTAACATCGTACATACTTACTTCTTACATACACATCAATAAACAATTCATCTGAAGTACTGCTATCTGAAGATGATTGCCGGCATGAATAGGTTCCACGAGGATCATTCCACACGGATCCTAAGTCCAGATTGCAACTTCCATATTCTTTTTGTTCACCTTCAGGTTTCCATGTACAATTTGTAAATGGACAATTCAAGGACAACTGATCATTTTTTTCGATAACTAGATAAAATAAAGATAATACATCTGTATTGACAAATGCAACTGATGGAATTACAAAATGCTTTCATTGGCATATTTGGAGGTTAAGTCATACCCTTTATTGGCTAACTTAAGTTAGTAAAGATGCAAGCATTCGGGTTTCCTTAGATCACTTCTTCAAGCTCTATACATTTCTGCAACCCATATAGTATTTAAAACATTTGATTACAAGATCATTGTCTTTTTACAGTTCAAAAGAAAGTCATCCTCTGTAAAGTGTCTTGAGAAGTAAAGCTGTGTTGGATTAACTTTCTGTGTTTTATGGGAGAGTTAAGCTGTCTGTGGATTGTGCTGATTCAGCAGCTGACCATATTGCTTGATGGATTGAGATCTAAAGGAGGTATGTCCATCCATGAAGCAACATTTGAAACAGAAAAGGCATCTTATAGCCTTACAAGGGCCATCAGACATGCATGCATAATTTGGCTAATCTCAAGCATAAGAACGCAGTTGACCACTCAGATACCAGGATCAGCTGGCCACTCTCAGGAATCAGGATTGGGTCTCCTGGAGCAGAAACATTATGCTTATCTGCATGTTCCTGTTCATGTTAATGGAGAGGGAAGGAGGAAAGAATTGGCTGATACTACCAGTACTGCTTATCTCAGGGGAGCTACAGGAAATGGGACAGGTTTTTCTAAGTTACCAAATCAGTTGTTTCCCTACGTAGTGGCTGGACAGTGGTGTCGGGGGCCTCTCATAGGTTAAGCTCATCACCCTGTGCAGCAAAAAATTCCCAGATTGGAGGACTGTTATCTCATACCTATGGTTATCTCATTGTAAATCTAAATGAAAAAGGTAATAGTGGTTTTAACCAATTCATGCCACTGACGTATGTCATACGTCGCTAGCAGTGGGCTTCTGTAAACGATGCATTCAAAAGCATCAGCACTGTGTTGGGCACACACACCAGTAGCCGTGCGGTGTAGCGCAGCTTCTGGTGTGAACGTGCCCTAAAAGTGGAAATAAAAATAGGTAACCTCAAGAGATGAAAATAGGGAGAAAAAAAACATTATTTTACTACTAGAATCTCAGCAATGTAGGATCATTTGGATTTGGTTGTTCCTGAAGGAACCACACCTTCTTTACCTTCTTTCCTTTTTCCCCTTTTCTTTTTCTCTTTCTTTTCTTTCTATAATGTTTTCTCTTTCTTTTTCCTATTCTCCTTCTTTTTCTGGGTACAATTGACCTCATTCCACTGTTTGGGTGTATGGCCTTCCACTGGCACCCCCCTTCATTCGTGTTACTCTTTTTGTATCTTTCATCTGGGACTGGTACATTCCAATAGTTCTATTATGCATGGCTTCCTGAGTAGAGTGCACTGAATGATTATGTCTATATGTACTTGTCCTACTATGAAATACTGTGAAATTGGATAATGAATCCTTATGGTTTTATTTAGTTTATGGCTCTGGTTGACTATCCTATATGCTCTTACAGGTGAAACTTGAATAATTAGAATATCGTGCAAAAGTAATTGCAGTAAGTGCTGCAAAAGGGGCCCAAACCAAGTACTAAGTACATATGCATGCTTGTACTTTTCAGAGGTCCGATATTGTTCTATGTACAATCTTTGTTTTATTGATTGCATGTAATAATCTACTTTTTTGAGGTTGTGGATTTGGGGTTCTTGGGGTTTTCATGAGCTGTAAGCCATAATCATCACAATTATGACAAATCACGGCTTCAATTATCTTGCTTTGCATGTAATGAGTCTATCTCATATATTAGTTTCACCTTTTAAGTTGCATTAGTGAAATAAATGAACTTTGCACGATATTCTAATTATTCGAGTTTCACCTGTATGTATGCCTACTTGCTCTGTGTTGAATGCATTTTTATATTGTTGATTGTAATATTGTTTTGTTGTTGAAAATTCCATAAACACATTGTAAAAGCAAAAATAAAAACATTTTGTTAAACACCCCATGTCTGTTCCAATTGGGCTGAAATGACAACCCTAGAGAAAACAGTGTTTCCTACGCCAAGAGCGTTCCAGTGTTCTCTACATGATCTCTTAACAGCTCTGAATTTACCATAATTTAATCTTTTCCCCCCATATATTTTAAAGGGAAATGTATAAAGCAGTGAATGTTACATTCACCAAACATTCACTGCAGGTGAATCAATTAGCACCATTTAAAACACATGCACCAGGAAGATTTACCTGCAGTGAATGTTTGGTGAATGTCACATTCACTGCTTTATAAATATACCCCTCATGTGAATGGAAAGAGAAAAAAAATCAGATCCTGCAATAGTGTTTCTCTTTTACTGCTGATATACAGTATTTGTCAATGATTCTACTGTATTGCAAATCACAGACATAGTGAGAGCTGAGGTCCCTATTCTCTGACCTTTCATTGCTATTATATTAGCATTTTTATACACCTTTTGCTGCATCCTAACGTTAAAAATAGGTAACCTCAAGAGATGAAGAGAGGGAGAAAAAAAACATTATTTTACTACTAAAATTTAGTAGTTTATCCAAGATTAATGGATGCATCCCTCACAAGTCAATGGTGCAGTGTCTTTGTGCAGGTTATTGCAGGCATTACAAAGAATTACTTGGTTAATCAATTGTAGTGAATGTCCAGCACATCAAGATTGGCAAGAGTGTGTGCATACCTCTAGGGAGAAATGCCTTTTCATAGATTTTGTTTCATAATGCTTTAAATTGGAGAAAAGCATGGCAAACCCACGTGTATATTTACATTGTCTTGAATGGATGCTTGGCTCTAATATGCTGTGCCATACGCTGGTGTAGCTGCTGTTTTGTTTCACCGACATACAGTTCTGAGCACTCCTCCCTGCACTGGACTGCCTACACAATGTTGTTCATCTTGTGTTTTTGCGTTGGATCTTTTAGGTGAACCAGCTTTTAGGATCTCTTAGGTGAAGCAGAAGAGATGTGATGTTTTTAAAAGACACCCCAGTTACATATGGGATGACCAGGCCCGGATTCCCCACAAGGCCACCAAGGCCAGGCTTCGGGGCGGAAGGAATTTTCTCTGTCCGGTGGTATAGAGTGCTGATGACTCCCAGTTTGTGATCCAGAGGGTGGTGGGAGTCAAATAGCAGGTACTGATCCTTGTGTAAAGTTAGTGTAGTAAGATCAATGGATGTCACTTAAACATTCTATAATATTGTCTAATGATAGCTCTTCTATAAGGGTAAATGATGCTTTCCTATGATTATAATAATTACAACTCAATACATACTGAAACTTCCAGTTATTGGATGTAAATTACTTAAAAATGTACAATAGCACAATAGTCACTTACCTTTAATTTCTTTGTTTTTGAAAGTGAAGATAAAAATAGATAGAGAGGGAGAGAAAAAAGAATCATATTATTTTATCTATCATCGTGGATTGGTACATTGACACATCAGAGTGTATATTTCTTTTATACTTAGAGCTCAATAGTTCTTTTTTTTTATGCTTTCCTGACTACAGTGTACTGAAGGATTATGTCTAGATGTACTTGTCATACTACAACATTTTGTACTATGAAATTGGATAATGGATTCTTATGGTTTTATTTCACCTATGGCCAGCGCCAGATATACTCTCTCTGCTGCCCCAAGGCCAGGTTCCTCAATGCGCCCGCCAAACCCCCCCCCCACCCCCACAATGGAGAATGGCAGACCTGCAGGCTGGATACAAGTGATCTCGGCGAGATCTCTTGTGCAAAACAAGTGACGGCTTCCCCACTGTACCTGTACATTTAGCTATGCTTGCCCAAATCAGGGCTAAATGTAAAAAACAACTACCCGCCCGGCGTCCGTAACTGCATGTTTCGAGCATCAGGAGATAGGAATTCCACACCCCTCCTACCCCTCTACTCCCTGCTGCCCCGAGACCGGGCCTTGGTTGGCCTTGTGGGAAATCCAGCCCTGCTTATGTCTCTAGCTAACTATCCTACTGTATATGCTCTTATGTATGACTACATGCTCTGTATTGAATACCCTTTCTATAATATTGGTTGTAACATTATTTTGTTGTTGAAAATTCAATTAACACATTGTAACAGAAAAAAAAATTAAACATTTTATTAAATGCCCCACATCTATTTCAATGGCACCTAAATGACAACCCAAGATTGTAACATTAGTGCTCCAGTTTTCTATATGTGACCTCTTAGCAGCTCCAGATTTTTTACTGAAATTATTTTTATTTTATCTTTTCACCCATAAATCTTAAAGGGACCTTTATAAAGCAGTGAATGTGACATTACCGCAATTTAAACACATGCACCAGAAAGATGTACCTGCACTGAATGTATTGTCACGTTGCTTCATAAATATACTCCTTAGTGTGAATGGAAAGAGGAAAAAAAATCAGACCCTCCAATGGTGTTTCTCTATATTACAGATGACTATTTGTCAATGATTCTACTGTATTGCAAATCACATACATAGTGATAGCTGATGTCCCTAGTCTCTGCGCTTTAAATGCTATTATATTAGCATTTTGATGAACCTTAAAGTAGACACTGTTAGTTTGTGTTTGCTGCATCCTAACGTTCAAGATTAATGGATGCATCCATCCCAAGTCAATGGTGTAGTCTCTGTGTACAGGTTATTGCAGGCATTAGATAGAATTACCTGGTTAATCAAATATCGTGAATGTCCAGCACATCATTGCATGATGCTTTAAATTGGAGAAAAGCATGTTGCTTGGGAAGTCCAAAACTCAGTAACTTGGGATAAAACGGGGGCATTGTTATAGTTATAAAAGACGTAGGGCACCCCTAGGCACTTCGATTACAATTTTGTGGGGCTGTACTTTTATAATCTAATAAGAAAAAATGTGAAGGGATTTCATTTCCTCCATATCTCCTTTTTATTGAAAGAGTAAAGTGCAGGTCAACAGAAACCAATGTTACAAAGAA